AGAATGACACCTGGTGAACCCCAATCGTAGGACTACATCACTGAAACGAGAGAACCAGGCTCGTGGCGACTGTTTCAGTCCATAAAGAGACTTACGCAGTCGACATACCTTTCCAGCATACTCCCCCTCACCACGAAAGCCCGGTGGTGCATCCATATAAATAATCTCGTCCAGATCACCGTGAAGAAACGCATTCTTCACATCTAATTGATGAAGAGGCCAAGAGTACTCCGCAGCTAGAGAAATAATTAACCGAACAATAGTCAATTTTGCCACGGGGGCAAATGTAGCACCAAAGTCACGACCTGGTACCTGAGTAAAGCCCTTCGCCACAAGTCTAGCCTTGTAACGATCAATAGTACCATCTGCCAGAAACTTCAGGGTGTAAACCCAGCGACAGCCAACAGGCTTCACCCCTGAAGGTAAGGAGACAAGATCCCATGTATGATTACGCTGAAGAGCGTCCATCTCTGTCTGCATGGCAAGAACCCACTGGGGCTCCCGCATAGCTTCCGAAATAGAGCGAGGAACCAGCGTATCTGATAAGGCCATAGTATAAGCTCGAAATGTGGGAGACAGATTACCATAAGAAACATAAGCAGAGATCGGATATAAAATCTTGGCGGTCCAACCATATCGATCAACTGGACGGCGATCACGCCTTGGATAACGACGCCCTAAATCACCATCCTCTACTGATAATATCTTATCAGGTAAAGTAACTGGCTCAGCACCTGTAATCTCATCAGTACTAACAACAGGTGCATCAATATGCTCAACAAACTGAGAAGTATTACCTGCATCGCCTGAGGTAGAGGGGATATCAGCAGGGTGATGAGAGCGAGGACAACGAGCATACACCTGCAAAGGAAGAGAGACTGGTAACTCTGTACTGACAGGGATGAGTGACTCCTTGGGAGGAAAAACGGATGACCCTGTAGGGATAGTGATCAATGACTCTGACTCTTGTGGTAATGGGAAATCAAAGGGAGTATCATCAACTGGAGGGGCAGACAAAGGACTGAAAGGAAAATAAGGAATATGCTCAAGAAAGGTAACATCTAGACTGTGATACATACGACGCCTAATAGGATCATAACATCGATACCCCTTAGATTGATGACAATAGCCCACAAAGATACAACGAATCGCTTTATCATCAAGTTTATGACGAGTAGGAGACCGATCCTGAACAAAACATGTGCATCCAAAAACACGAGGGGGAACCGAAAAAAGTGTCCGCTCAGGAAATAAGACCTGTAAGGGAGCCTTATGCTGAAGAACACGACTCGGCGTACGATTGCACAGAAAGGTAGAAGTCAAAACAGCAAAATGCCAATAAGATTTTGGTACCCTCATGCCTCTAAGCAGACAACGTACCATCCCTATCAAACTCCTATTTTTCCTCTCAGCAACACCATTTTGCTCAGGAGTATATGGACAAGTGAGTTGCTGAAGGATACCCTGAGAAGAAAGGTGAGACACTAAAGCATCAGACACATATTCTTTGGCATTATCCGAACGAAGAGCACGAACAATGACATCGAATTGTGTCTTAATCATCTGTAAAAACTGAGTGATTATAGGGAGCACATCAGACTTCCTATGCAAAAGGTAGACCCAAGTACAACGGGTATGATCATCTATAAATGTCACATAATATCTGGCACCTGACAGAGCAGTAACGGGAGAGGGTCCCCAAATATCAGAGTGTATTAGGTCAAATGGCTTGGGTGACTGGTGCATGCGAGGAATATAATTGGCCCTAACATGTTTTGATAGGGAACAGATAACGCAATCAAGTTTACCACCAACACAAGCATTACTCAAAGCAGGAAACAACATACATAAATATTTAAAATTTGTATGTCCAAAACGGTCATGCCACAATTGAACAGTTTGTGACGAAAAATCATAACGACAACTACTAGGTAAAATACTAGCATGCAAGCTAGGAACAGAAAAAGACAAAGCAGGTGCAGGTGAAGGAATTGGTGAAACTGGAGATGGATTGCCAAGATAATACAGTCCATCTTTCTCATGTCCCCTGATAATAATCCTCCTGGTACTCAGGTCCTGCAAATAACACGAATCAGATAAGAATACAACCGCACAGTGAAAATCTCTGGCTAACTGATGTACAGATAATAGATTCATGGCCAACTTTGGCGCATGAAAAACCGAATGTAATGTAAGGCCATCTGGGAGACGGACTGTACCCCTACTAACAATAGGGGCATGTGTTCCATCTGCTAACTGAACCTGTGTATGTAATGGCTCGTCAAAAGTGGTGAAGTGATGGGCCTCACCTGTCATGTGACCATTCGCACCCGAGTCCAACATCCAAAGGGGAGATGAACTGGCACAAGCGTGAAAGGCACGAGATATACCTGTAGTGGTGACAGCAGCAGTAGTCAGACTCTGAGAAGTCAGAGCAGACATAAGTATATCTAATCGGGAAGTGATAGCTTCCATATCACTTTGCCAAGGAGGAGCAGTAGCAGGAGTGGCGGTAGTGGGCGGTGGTACCTCAGCAATAGCAACAGTACGGCTGCGAGAAGGTGGCTTAAGCTCTGGATGGAGCTTCCAGCAAGTAGCCCTGAGATGTCCTGGTCGGCCACAATAATCACATTGACGGGAATCCCCCCGTCTGCGCTGATCTGGGGCGCCCTGACGGCGCTGGTCTGAGCGTTGCCCATCCCTGACTAAGGATCCTGAACGGGACCCTACAGCAGCTGCAAGGGCCATCTGGTCAATCGAAGGAGTCAAAGCTGCAACTGGAAGTGATGCAATACGGACTCGACGCTCATGCTGCTCAATCATCCCATACACCTCATAAAGAGAAGGAAGTGTCAACATCGACAAGATCTGAGAACGAGGTCCCTCAAACTCATCACGAAGCCCCATAAGGAACTTGTGAATCCTATCCTCCTGCTCTCGAGTATGCAAGAATGCTGCTCCCTCGGGCTCTATCTTCGGAATAGCAGCAAGAGGACGTAGAGACTCATACTCAAGCCAGCGCTGGGTCAAATAGCCATAATAATCCTGAACGGTCATATCTCCCTGCCGAGCATATGAGAGCTCCTGAGAAAGCTCATAAACACGAACTCCCCGTCCTGACTGAGAATACATCTCTGATAATGCGCTCCATAGCTTCGGAACAGAGCTATGAAACTGGTGGATCCTGCAAACAGAGGGCTCCATTGAACCAAATAACCATCCAAGAATGGCACAGTTTTCAGAGAACCATGCAGAATATCCAGGATCGGCATCAGCTGGCTTTGGGTGAGATCCCGTCAGCCAACCAAGCTTCCCTACACGGCCTAAGAAAAGCTGGAATGAGCGTGACCACTCAGCGAAGTTACGACCATTCAACAATTGTGCCGTAACTTTTTGAGAGATCATGCCCGGTAATGCTGGTAATGCAATTGTGCTAGTAGGCACTGTATACTGGTCAAACATAAAAGTGGAAGTACCCATAGATGTCTCAACGGTAGAGGTGTCAACAGTAGGGTTCTCAAGTCCCTCAGTAGTAGCCATATCAACAACAATACTAGGGCACCCGTGACAGAAAAATAACTCTAAGATAAATAGAGGAATAAAATAAGGGAGAACAATATTCCTTCAGTCGAACAGTAGCGACAAATAAGGAAGGTCCAAAAAGCTCCCAAATAATTAAGTCACGGTGCCCAGAAATCCAAAATATATAAATAAGTGATCTACTGCATCAAGAGCAAATCAACAACCCCTTATAAAAAATCCTAGATATAACAGCGAGTTGGGTTTATTGGTTGGCAGTGGGCTGGGTATGGATTTAATATGTCGGTGGGGTGTATGTTGGGTATGGATTTAATATGTCTGGGCTGTGTTGGGTTGAGAATTGTTTTGGGTTGGTTTTAATATGTCGGTGGGTTATGGATTTAATATGTCGGCTGGGCTGGGCTGTGTTGGATTTATTGGTTGGTTTGATGTATGTTTGTTGTCGGTGGGTTCACACCAGTCGGGTTCACCAGTCGGTGGAGTGTGATGTAGGACAGTCGGTGGGTGATGTATGTTTGTTGTCGGTGGGTTCACACCAGTCGGGTTCACCGGTCGGTGGAGTGTGATGTAGGACAGTCGGTGGGTTCACCAGTCGGTGGAGTGTGATGTAGGACAGTCGGTGGGTTCACCGGTCAGGGGGAGTAGCGAGTTGTTTCGCTTCAGTCGGTGGACTGATTCGGTGAATCGGTGGAGTATGTAATGGTGGCTGGGCAGTTTATTGGAGAACTGTTACAAGGAACCGGCTATCGGAGTTGGGTGAGTAGCGGCTGGTTTGGCTGGAGTATGTCGGTCGGTGGGCAGTCGGCAGTCGCTGGGTTCTATGGAGGCAGTCGCTGGTTTTGGAGGTGCTTTTTTTTGGTTCGCTGGTTTGGCTGGAGTATGTCGGTCGGTGGGCAGTAGGCAGTCGCTGGTTCTGGTGGCCTGGGTGTGGCGCTGGAGGTTGGGCAGGCTGTTGCAGATTGTTTGGGTGTGGCGCTGGAGTGGAACGGTGGCTGCTGGGAAGGTGATGAAGGCTAGGGTTAAGGTTAGGGTTAGGGTTAGGCTTAGAGATGGAGGCTAGGGTTTTGGCTCTGATACCAACTTGGAATATGTGAAAGGGATACTCAAACTCAAAGTAGAGTCCCGTATATATAGCAAAGAATAATACAGAGTAAGGGTAAAAAAGAGAATCTAATAAACCTAGACTACTATCTATACTCCAACAGGTCTCCAGTAGATAAGTGTTGCTCATATGGGAACATACGACCTCCAAAATTTTATAAAAAATGGTGTAAATAGCCACAATAATGAAGCTGAGGTTCTTGTAATTTAACAGTCACATGCATAGTTGGACGTATGAGTTTCAGGCTCAATTCATTCAGTGTAATACTTGTGCTCTATTTTACTTGAATCTATCGTGTTTTCAAGTAGTATGATGAAAATAACTTCATCTGCTTCCAGGATGGGTACAAAAGCGTTTGATGAAACTGTACATCGACTGTTGCAAGGATCTAGAGGAGCCACCCAATTTCAAATTGATAAAGAAGTTATATAACTTAGAGGTAACAGTAGAGGTTTGGTGCAGCTTTATGTTGAGGAAAAGTATTTACCTTTGGAATTTCTTTCGTGGAACTGTTGGGGAAAGGCTACTGGATTAGTGGATTGTATACCATCATAGTATCATAAATGACTAAAATATGTATTTTGAGGCTTGCCTGTTTTTATTACTTGTCCCTTTATTTTTTCCAGCTTTCAGAGGATGAAGTCATTGTGTCTGATTGTGATTTGCAAGACTTATCGGCAACACCATTACTGAATGCCCTGAATGCGCACAAGACAGTTGCTGCATTAAATATTTCCCACAATTTGTTAGGTAATGACGAATAGTTTGGATGCCCTTTGTTTCAATTATGATACGTTAGTTCTGGAGAACAAAACACATCTAGCTATTTAGTTGCATGTTTCTTAATCAGTGTTTATTTTCTTCATTTCTCTATGTGTTCGATTTAACAAGTGCTTTTCTGGTACTTCATTAGTATTGTATTTGCAATTCATCTAGCTAGTATTAGTTATCCTTGTGTTTGCTATCTCCCAGGCAATGGAACAATGGAGAAACTTCAACAGCTATTTACTTCGGTGGGTCAAACTTATGGTGGTTTGCTTTTGGATTTGCACTGCAACCACTTTGGGCCAACTGCTTTATTTCAGGTCTGTATCCCTTGATATTCCCATAAGCTTGAAGTGGCAGATTTTTTTCTTATTGTTTATCATGGTTTGAGTAATAGCCTTGCTGACACACTGGAAGGCTGTTGCTTACATAGACAAGGCCAAGACCTTGTTAATTGAGATACTTGAAATAAAAGTCTTTCAGATGGGCGTCCCATGACTTAGTTTCTTATTCTTCAATGAACAATCTCTCTCCAACGGGGATTCAAGCATTTTTCCTTGTATTTCTTTTGGAAGTTCTTAGCGATCCATAAGAACGTTCACACCTGAATGAACTCCAAGTGTAAAACTTCCACTGGAGATCTTTTAATTTTCACAAGGCTGTGCCTTGCCTATATAGTGGACTACGAGGCTATAATTAAGAAACAGAGCTAGTGTGTAAATTCGTCTGTTGTTGTAAATTCATCTGTGGTTGATAATGTCTAAATTCCTAATTCTTCTATAAAAGACATAACACTATCATTATCCCATAAAGATTGATTTTATGAGGTCAGTTAGTTCCTACTCATTAGTGGAGGAAAAATCTTGTTTTTCTTCCCCATAAATATGTAACACCCCAGTTTCCAAATGTAGAGAGTGCTTGTATCCCATATTGAATGATTAGGGCCCTCCAAGGTTGGTTTATATGCTTAAGGGGTCTCTCTACTCATCGCCAAGTGATTTTAAGTTAGATGCTCTAATGTGTAATCAGCGCTGAGCCTTGGGTGGTTAGTGAATCAAGTCTCTTAACAATTTGAATTTTTCTGAATGCGTGTGTTATGTACAAAAGCCACAAACAAATAAACTGAACAAAATAGAAAAATACAGAAAACCAATTTACATGGATTGGTTTGAAAGCCTACATCCACAGGCAAAGCGCAGCGACGAAGTTTCACTATCTACAAAGAGAGATTATGTAAAATTCTCTAAACCTAGATAATAGAGCCTAACATGGATGCCCAAAACTACAAACCAAAATTCCTAAAAGAAATTGAGTGGTCTATAATCTATTGATAAACCCAAAAAAAATTATTTCCTAAAACAATAGGGTTTTCAATTGGTCTTTTAATTGAAGTGGAATTTCAGGATATCCACTTTTTTCAAATCCCTAAGAAGAACATAGTCCAAACCAGTTTCCTACTATGTGTGAAATACAAGACACCCACAACAACTTGCTTGTCTATTTGTTTGTTCCACGTGAGAGGGTGTCGAATGATTAGGACCGACCAAGGTTTGTTTGCAGGCTTAAAGAGCCTCTCGACTCGGTGTCAATTGGTTTTGAATTGGACAGTCTAACACCCGAAACGTTATTTGATATAAGTCTGAAGATTTCAGTCCATTTATACATATCAAAGCTCTAATTTTTTTGAAGATTGTATATAATTAACCCTTCCACTAACCAAATCACAATTTCCAAGGTCACAAATTTGCACGAAAATATGAATGATCCCAAAATCTCTAATTTTTAACATTTTGGTGCCGTTCTCAATTTTTGTTTTGAAATTAATTTGTACCTGAGGGTGAATATGGGAATGAACTGGATGACACAGTAAGCAAATCCATAATGTGATAGGAGTGAAAATGATTCAAGATGATTATTGAAGAATCCAAAAATTCAATCAAAGAACAATTAATTGAAGCAATTGTGTCACAAGAGCTAACTAGATAATACTCAGCATTTCAGTAACAACACAAGTGACACTCAACCTCACCACACCTCATCACATTACTCTGGCATTGGTAATACTGGCATTTAGACTGTTGACTAATGGCAACTTACTTATGGGTTCACGTTGTGCAAGTACCAAATTGACCCAAGACAAGTTGTCAGGGAACACAACCAACAAATCAACAGGAGTTCATTCTATTTTGTGACAATTACAGCATAATTAAGAGGATTACACATTTATGATAATCAGCATAAAGAGATTCAAGATGCAAGCTTCTTATGAATAATCACACTTATCAGGTCTTCAATTGAACCAGTGATATGCATACTACTAGAGATGAAGAGTCTTTCAATTTCATCTCAATCGAACTGTTTCACCATTTGATTTCCACATCAAAACTCAAAAATTGCCTTTCACTTTCCTGTCCATTTTCTTTTCTTTTTTTGTTACATTTTGCCTCTTTTCTGCTCATCTACACATTGCAAGCACCATACCTACAAACACATGAACAAATTCCCACTCTCCTATTTCTCTTAGGGAATGTGCATTGTACTATAGTACACTTACATGGTAAAGGACATGTGGGCTTAACCATATTAGGGCACATGCAGTCATTCCTTCTATTTACATGCCATGTGCACACATTCAAGCCTACACGTAGCACATTTCATGCAATTCTCATTCTCTTGTTAGTTCCTTCATCTTGAGTTTTTACAATTATATTTAACCCCAATATTTACTTTAATATTTCTATAACTTATAAGTCAACCCCAAGAATAAATTTAGCACCATCTATTATTTATTTGCTAGTAAAGATATCGCAAAATAGATATTGATTA